GAAGCTATGCTTAGAAACTAATCAAGGAAAGAAGCAACCTAGAACTAAGGAGAAATTTTCTGACATAATGGTTAATCAGTGGAATAACTTGCCTCCAGAAGTTGTAAATGCTCCAACACTGGAAGTTTTAATGAGATTGGATAACCTTTTTTCTGAAATGGTTACCTGCCTAAGCAGGAGGTTGGACTGGAAGACCTCCAAGGTCCCTTCAAAGTCTGTTACTCTTATTTCTTTAAAAGTAACGTACCATATTTTTCCTCAAAAAAGAGGCTGAAAATCTAGGTGCTTCTTATACACTCAATACAGTATTTTTTGCCTCCCGAATCCCTGCCCCTTCACCAAAATGGCCATGCATACCCTTATGGAGACTTTCTGGGGGCTGGGGAGGGCAAAAAAGGGCCGTTTTTGCCCCCCCTCCCCCAGCAGTTCTCTATAAGCCTATGCATGCAAAAAAATTTTTACAAAAAAAGGGCCTGTTTTTGCAAAAAAAATGGCCATTTTTTGTTTGTTGTTGCCCCCTTCCTATCCCCCTGGAGCACTCTGCAAGCCCCCAAGGCTATTCATGCCCTCTTTTTTTAAAAAAAAGTTTTGAGGAGATTTGCAGAGTGCAAAAGCTTTTTTTTTCCTTGGGGAAAGCTCTTACTGATTGATGAGAATTACATTGATCAAGTTCTGTGCCAGCAGAAACACCTATCTACTGTATTTCTATCTCTATTTCTCTCTATCCCTTTATCTATCTACCTAACTACTCTCTCACTCCCTAACTACCTACTGTATTTCTTTCTCTCCTTTATCCATCTATCTACTTACCTACCTACTTTTTAAAAAAATTGCCTCTTGAAAAACCTTGAAGTGTCTTATACTCCGGTGCATCTTATACTCTGTAAAATACGGTAATTGGATATTTTTTACGCCTCAGCTTGAAAATGCTACTGGTAATTAACATTTCAGTATATTTGTGCATTCAAATCTTCTATCTGCAANTAGAATGCAAGTTCCTGAAACAAATCTCTGAGAACCCTAGAATTTTATCAGAGGAGCTATGGTAACTCTTTTCACTAATGATGTCAGGGTACATGAGTCTACTATTAGAAAGAAGCTGCAAAAATTAGATTGGAGGTGTTCCAGGAGGAAACCTCAGAAAAAATTTCGGGACCAGACTAAAGTTTGGTCATGAACATCTGAGGCAGAGACCAGCACTTGTGCTGTGGACTGAAGAAGCAAAGGTACCAGAAGCCATGTTTGGCAAAACAAAAGAGAACATTTAACCATAAAACCCGATACCAAAAGGATGATAGTGGAAATGTTACAGTTTGGGGCTGCTTTGTTGAATCGGGGACCGGTCAGCTCAGCAACACAGAATTTGCTATGAATTCTTCAGAGGGTGCCTCAGGATAATGTGAGACCATCTGTCAGAAGATTGAAGTTCAACTCAAAGTGGACTTTGCAGCATGACAGTGACTTAACTGTTCCAGCACATCCACCAAGGAATAGCTAAAGTGATAGAGAAAGAAAGAAATGGAGGGGCTTGGAATGGCCATTAAAGCCTGCATCTAAATCCCATCACGATACTATGCAGTAATACTACACAGCTGAAAAACATTATTAGCATGGAAGAGCGGTGATGAAATCTTCCTAATCAGTGTCAGAGACCCTTAGGTCTTTGTAAGAAATACCTATCTGGTTATTTTCTGCTAGGCATATCACTTAATTTTTTGTTGGAATTTTTTCCCCATAATTTTTTGTTTGTTTAATCATACCATCGTTGCCATTATATAATGTTTGAAAGAATATAAAATACTGATATGTGCACCTGTATCAAAAATGAAAAAAAAAAAGCTTTGCCCTGGTGCTGCTCATTTTTTCATGTCTACATAACCAGCCAATGGCATTTCTTGGTGTCAAAGTACTCATCATGTTACCCAAACTGGAAATTAAATGAGAGAAGAAAGCCAACTTTGGAGAACAGCTTCTTCACTTTTGTAATAACATATTTTGCTAATGTAGCCTCTGAATGTTATTTTTGACCTGGGTGGATATTTGAAGGAGTAATTTAAACAGGAGAAGTTTTGAAGAAAGATGAATTAGTCTCAGCCACAGCATTGGAGTTAGTATAATTAATATAGAATACATTACAATTTTTCTATAAAGTAACTATCTTAATATGTTCTTCCAGCCCTCAGCTGAGGTACAGCTGGGAGTGAAAGTAATAAGATAACATTACATAATTGTTGTGAGTTATTTCCTCAGCGTTAGCCTGTCCTCCAGGTTATTACATCTAGATTACATTTGAGGGTATTCTAAATCTCTTAAAGACTAGCTGCATTATTTGGTAAAAGCCATTCTTATCCAATTGGGGCCTTTTTCAGTCTGCAATTTGTGGAAAAGGAATTGCGTTAACTTTGAAAGTTGGAGGACCTTTTCATTGTGACATGTAAAATGAAAAGCTGGGCCAGAAATTAATTCTGCTTTTTCAGGCTTGGAAGTAGAACTGGCCATACAAAATCATTCCTTTCATGAGCAGATACAAATGGATCTCCTCCCTTTCCAAACCTTTCTGTCCTTTTCAAAGTTCTTTCATTTTTGAACAGCCAGTCAAAATGCTTGCCACAAAGCAAAGAGTTATCAATTGAAGGGAACAGATGATTTTATCTCTCCCCCCCCCCCAATTATTTTCTTTTTTTTAATTGTCCTTTTGCATACTTTGTGCTTCCCTCTAGCCTGCTGATATTTCCCTCATTTGCATGAATGGCACTTGTCTGGCTACACAAGTATATAGAAAGGAAGGAGATAGGAAAAAAAGTGACCAAGAAAATCTGTAGTTTATTTCAGAATTACTAGGTTTACACAAATCAGTTTAAAAACTATTTTAAAAGATGAAATTGATGGACGATTTCAGATGATTAAAATATTGAACCTGTCAGAGTATGTTGTTTAACAGAGTAGAGAGAGGATTAAATAAATAATTTAAAGAAAAATAGATTAGCTATATATAGGTAGTCCTCGACGTACAACCACAATTAAGCCCAAAATTTCTGTTGATAAGTGAGACATTTTTTAAGTGAGTTATGCCTCATTTTATGACCATTCTTATCTCAATTAAATGACTCACTGCAGTTGATATGGTAGTAACTTGGTTGTTAAGTGAACCTGGCTTCCCCATTGACTTTGCTTGTCAGAAGGTCGCAAAAGGGAATCACCTGACCTTGTGACATAGCAACGGTCATAAATATGAACCAATTACCAAGCCTCTGAATTTTGATCACTTGATCATGAGGATGCTGTGAAGGTTATATGAAAAAACAGTCACACGTCACTTTTTTCAGTGCCGTTGTAACTTTGGTCACTAAATGAACTGTTGTAAATTGAGGACTACCTGTAAATCTAAGGATTTTTAATTCAGAAATTGCATTGATTTCAATGGAAAGCCTGAATAATCATGCTTCAATTTGCAATTTGATGTTCTTTGTGTTGCTTTATGTTCTGAAGTTTGTTGCTCCAGGGATCACTGTAACTCCATTTATAAACATGTTGTTTGCAGATTAAGGACCAAGTTTCCTCATACCAAGCATGATACAAACTTGGGTTTTGTGTTGAGTCCGGTCATGTTGCAAAGAAATGTAAGTGGAGAGAACTCGAGCATCAAGATTTCAATAGAAATTGGGGGTTTTCAACAGCCAGTGACATTCACATGTGATGGTAAGTGCGTTTTTATTTTAACAGATATATTTCAGTAGATTAAAAGATTGTCAAAATAATGTTGGTAGTGAATTATACCCTTGAGGGTAGTCTTTGGCTCACAACCACAATTGAGCCTGGAATTTTGGTTGTAAGTCGTTGCAGTTGTTAATAGAGTCACCACATGAGTTGACTCAACTTTACAACTATATTATGGCTTTCGTAGGCAATGCCATTGATCGTGCGTGTTGTTAAGTGGAAAGTGGGGGGTGCCTCAGGTTGGATGAATCCCTGGGAATCCTAGAGCAGGCCACATGCAAATTATAGGGGTTTTTCAGTATTGCATGGATGCAGGGAAACAACAGAGGGGAAAAAGAACTTGCCTTAGCTTGGCAACATAGCAAAAAAGCATCACACTTTTTTGCCAGGAAATGCAAAAAATGCTAAAGGCAGCCACTCAACTTCAGAGTCTTAAAATGCCCCCTTTCCCTTGCTCTTGTGTGGGGTTGGAGTGCTGAAGCTGACTTTGTAATGAAAAACAGAAAAAGCTTTTCTTCTTTCTTTCTTTCCATTCCTCCCTCCCTTTTCTTCTTTCTTTCCATTCCCCCTCCCTTTCCTTCTTTCTTTCCATTCCCCCTCCCTTTCCTTCTTTCTTTCCATTCCCCCTTCCTTTTCTTCTTTCTTTCTTTCTTTCTTTCCATTCCCCCTCCCTTTTCTTCTTTCTTTCCATTCCCCCTCCCTTTTCTTCTTTCTTTCTTTCCATTCCTCCCTCCCTTTTCTTCTTTCTTNACACACACACACACACACACACTTATAACTTAGAGTGTCGTAGTTCAGAGCAAACCAGATGAACAATAATCTGATATTAGAAACTAAGTCAAGGATAGTTGTTAATTGCAATATTTCCAAATGTACAAATTCTTAATGCTTTATATATTGGGTAGGAATGTATAATAATATAGATCCAAAGCAGGAAAAGTGCTTCACATCTAGTGTGAGTGTATTTGTTGTACCTGTCAGTGGCTCCTTAGACAAGCTGTGACTTTTTCTGATCTTGTACGATAGCCGTAAGATCTTTGAAAAATGCTTATTTGAATTAAAGAATTAAAGATAGGATAATGTAATTGTAATCCTGTCAATGCCTCAGGTATTGTTCAAGGCTAGCGTGCAAGCCTGGGAAAAGTTGTGTCATTTTTAGGGAGCTGCTGTCTGCAAGCATGAACATAGTGAATCAAAAACACCTTTCCAGCTTCTGATCCAAATACCAATAGAGCCCTAATAGACAGAATTTTAAAATAGAAATGGACAATAGTGACTGTAAATACTTTCAGTATTGTATGTTTTTTTTCCCCCTTCACTAGTTTTATTGAATCTGTTTGAACATTTTGGTGCCAAAGAGTTTCAGAAGAAGAATTAAAATTGTTAATGGACATCTGCTTTCACAGAATGGCCCAGATATCTAGCAGCGATGAATTTAAACAACGTTCATCACCCATTTTGGATCCAGCAAGACCCAAAGACGTGGACAAAGAAGAAGCGCTGCAGATGGAAGCTGAAGCTCTGGCTAAGATGCAAAAAGAAAGAGTAGTGGTTGGCAGTAGACAAAAGAGTGACACCTTAAGCTACTCCTGGCCAAGTGTACAGTCCTGCAGAAAACAAGATCATGATCTTATGGTGTTTCCAGAGTCTGATGGCAAGAAGAAGGTGGATGATAAGTTAAATTCAATTGACATAGACAAACTTACACGTGCTGAATTAGAGAAAATTCTTTTAGAAGAAAATCTTGAATCCAACAAACCATCTACATTGTCAGCCCCTCAGATTCTTGGAGCATCATCTTCACAATTTTATTCTCATCCTGTTGCTCAAAGTGGACAGTGGACTTCTAGTTTGCCTGGGTCTTCCACTAGTGCCGGATCTTCTGTTTACCCTGTACCTTCCTTCAATAAACAAGTTGGTATTTTTCAGAATGGCTTTCATCCAGGTGTATCCGCTTACCAATCTACAAAGCCTGCCTATCTTTGTCTTCCAGAAAGATCTCAATACATTTCATACCCCCTGCCATTTACTTCAACTTTCCATCCTCAGGGAAGTGTACCCATGTATCATTCAACACTTACTCCTGAAATGGCAAAAGTATTTGATAAGATTGCAAGTACTTCAGAATTTCAAAAAAATGGGAAATCAAAGACAGACTTAGAAATGACTGGTGCTAAACCTACTATTAGTTTGCCAATCTCTGAAAGCTCCAATGATATTAGTAAATTTGATTGGTTGGATTTAGATCCTTTGAGTAAACCAAAGGTGGACAATATAGATATATTTTATACTTCAGAAGATGGAGGAAAGATAACTAATGCTAAAGTTGTAGAAGATCCTTGGGATGCTGTGCTACTAGAAGAGAAGTCTCCAGGAAAGGGCCATCTTGAAAGAAAACTTAGTGGAAAATCTGCTTCTGGGGCAACAGTTACAAGAAGTCAGTCTTTAAACATTCGAACTGCTCAGCTTGCTAAATTACAGGGCCAAACTGCACAGGTAAAACATCTTAAAATGTATATTTCCATTTAAATGCAAATGTTACTTTGCAAATTTTTCTTACCAAATTTAGGTAAAAAATCGTTCCCTTGCAAATATACAAATAGGTGTAGAGTAGCATCTTATTTGTTAATATTCTTCAGGATTAACAACCAATAACATTCAACATGTGTGTATTTATTTATATTCTGTGTATTCTAAATGGCGTCTTGAAATGACTAATTCTTTCAAGAAGCTTCAATAGCTAAAAATCTCTGTATCATAATTTTTATATAGTTCTGAAAATACAACAAGTCCCTAGGTTCTGGTTTAAGGATGAGCCATAATTAAGAATGGAGCATATAGCAACAAAATTTAAGTCAAATACACAGTAGTTCAAGTTAAGGTTATAATTTATTATATAATACTACTTATACAGTGTTTCACAATAATAGTATTCTGGTTTACATACAAATTTGACCTAAGGACAGACCTTGGGAATGGAACTTGTTCTTAAACAGGGGNGAAACACTTTAGCTGATTGCCAAAAAAATGGATGTGCATACAGTATAAATGCATGAGAAGACATCTGTGCTGAGCCATTTAGAAAAAATAACTCTTTCGACACTTCATGAATACTTCACGAAGTAATGCTTTAATGCTTTGTATTCTATATGATTACTTTTACTTTTTTTGCCTCAATAAAAATGAAGTAACAATTTACCTCTGTTATTGTAGATTTCCTAGTAAGATGGTTCTAGGAAGAACTCACGTAAAGGATGTAGCAGCCAAGAGGAAAGTAGAGCTAAATAGCTACATACAAAGTTTAATGAATATATCAACAGATGTATCAGAGGTAATTCTTGACAGTAGACTACAAAATACTTAAATTATTTTATATTTGTCTGAATGACAGATAGTTCTTATGGAAATTTTATCTTTCCCAACCTAGTGTGACCTCGTTTATACTTTCTTCCATCCCTTACCTCGTGATGAAAAAGCTGAAGGAATTGATGGAATAACTAGGTGTACAGGTAAGAATATAGTTGTACAATTTAATTAGTGTCTTGATTAGCACAATTATCTCTATGAATTCTGAAGTCTCTGCCATGTGGAGTTCCCACAGAATATAAAGTTGTACAAATTGTGTTAAATCATTAGAAGTAGAAATGGAACATTTTGGAGAACTCTAGGACATTCTGTTTCCCTTGGATAAATTTTGAACATTCTCTCAGACAATTACATTCTGGGGCAGTTTCTGGAAGAATTATTACTACATAATTATAAAGATTTTGTTGTATAGCCAAATAACCAACAGAATTCAAACGATTGATGCAACAGATTTCCCCTTCCAGAGAATCCTTTACTGGTGCCCTCAGAGTCCTTCGGGATTGGGCGGCATACAAATTCATTAAATCTTGAATCTTGTGTCTGTTCTGGAGGATTTGAAAAACATGAGCGCAAGGAAAACAGCCAAGGGAAATACAGCCTTTGTTCTAACAGAAGCAACCTGCTTGCATAATATCACTTAAAATAAAATTATACTTACTTTGTTCTATTATGAAAAAATTATTATGCTGTCATTACTACTTTATATGTAACTTAAGGCACTTTAACATCCTTAATATTCCTTCCTTCTCCCTTTTCCCCCACAACAGCTTGGTGAGGTGGGTTGGGCTGAGAGAGAGTAACTTACCCAAAGTCAAAATGAAATGTTTATTTGTCTACTTTTAGATACAGGCCCTTCAAGTCCTACCTCAGGCAAAGTAGGAGGAGAAGTTAAGTTGTCCATCTCCTATAGAAATAAGACTCTGTTTATCATGGTGATGCACATTAAAGATTTGGTAAGTATATAAATGTGTTTACATTGAAATAATTATAGTATGCTTTATGAGATTGTTTTTCAAAAACAATATCTTTCCTGGGGCTGAGGAAATCGGGCTGAAGTAATATGAGCACTATATTCTGCAAAATAGTGAGGCAATTGAATATTAAAATCAAAAACTCAACATAGCAAAATCATTACTTCTTTTTCATTAAAATTAAATATAATTAATATTGTTACTCTCCAGGCAAATATTTAACACTTCTTCCTTCTATCATATTAAAAATTACAATTGGTACAACTTTGGAGAAATGAATCAAAGCTTTCAGGGATTACATGCAAACCCATGAACTCTATTCTTAAGGAACCCTAAGGATTGTACAACATAATAGCAACAAATCAGTAAACAATAATACAATTTATTTGTTTATTTAAAAGATTTGTAAGGCCACTCAGGGCATGTCACAATAACAATNGAAATTTAAGTGGGAAAAACTGTGACGTGCCAGTAGAGCTTTCTATTTTGTAGTTTATTGATTTATTATTTTAACATTTCAGGTTGACTTCCCTTCTTTACCATTTGACATTATATACAAAATTCCTCAGGCTGCAAACAATTCAACATGTAATTCTATAGACACATTGGAAAAAGATTCAAGGGAGCGTCTCCTTTCCATTATTTCCAAAGAGGGTACATATGGGTATGTTCTCTTGGTTACTTCAAATCTAACATTCCATATGCGGGTTATTAGATATGATCATTCTTCAGTATTTATTTCTGCTGTGCATATAACAATTTTTGACAAGATTCTAGAGAACATTGAGAACTACATATGACCAGGGTGCATCATTTATTTATTTTCAAAATATAGTCCAACTGTTACTCAGAAGGGGATGTTGAGTAATTGAAATCTTGAACTATCACATAACAATTACTTTTTAAAAAGACATTTATAAAAATTTGAAGTATACTCAGCCTATGACTTTTAATCAAAGGTTAAAAGGTTGTCCTTGACTTATGACCAGTCACTTAGCAACTGGTGAAAGTTAAGATGAACCTCCCAAAAGCATAAGACCTGGTATGGCAGCCACCCTTACCCTCCCACCCCACAGACATAAGACTACAATTTGGGCAGTTGGCAGACAGCCCACATTTATGATTGTTTGCAGCATTCCACAGTCGTGTGACCACAAATTATGATGGATTTGCTGGAAACCAGTATTTACTTCCAATTTCCAGCAAAAAGCAGCAAACAGTGGATTTTCTCATCAACTGCAATGTTCTCTTTATAACTGCAGCATTTGTGTTTATGCCATCCAAAAAAAAGGTTGTACAATTGGGTTGGTCACCTGATGACCCACTGTATGATGAGGCTCAGTTAAGGCCATAAGCCGAGGACTATCCTTAGTGCAGTACACTCACAATATACAGTAGTACTCACGTTTTTACATTCCGTTAGTGTCAGAGCCTGAGAATTTCCTGTTGACAGAGAAAGAACTGAGGAGGCTGATTATTTTGGGAAGTCAAAAATAATGCTGCAAATGAAACATATGGAGAAGAAAGGATGGATAAGGTTTCCCCTTATATTCAAAGTTGCTTATGAATGCAAGGTTTCCTCCAGTAGCCAATGTACAGTTCAACTGAAATAGCTTTAACCTGATCAAAATGCTTGGTACTCATTACCAGGCTAATTCATAAGAGTTTTATAGCATCAAGATGATCCAGCCTTTTGTAAAGAAATTATTAAAAGATGAGTCACGATACCACTTGAAGTTTTCAGTTCCTCTTTTAATCTATTCTGAATTTTTTAAATTGAACTGATGGATCTAATGGAATAAATGAAAGGAGAGCAGGATGAATGATGATGAAATTTATTGTAGATATAATAATAGTTGCACACAGGATTTGTTTTTTATGGTTTCTAATTGTAAGTGACTATAATGGCAATGTAATGAATTAATAAATATGTTTGGAATTACCCTTTATAGATTATCTAGGAAAGATAAGGCATTTTTATGGGACAAGCGACATTATTGTTACACACATGCAGGCAGCCTGCCGAAGATACTGGCTAGCGCTCCAAACTGGGATTTGACCAACCTTCCTGAAATATATTTGCTACTTCAACAGTGGCCTCCTTTACCTCCACTTACCGCATTAGAATTGCTGAACGCAAAGTAAGTAAGATACATTTATTTCAGACTCTAATATATTTGAAAAATATTATAGATTTTGAACTATTAAGCATTTCTAGATTATTTCCAAGTAAGCAGCATCTGTAAGTAAAAGCCACATTACTGGTTTCACAGTATTTTGTCATGTGAATTTTGTTGATGGATGACAAATTATCTTGTATATCTTACAGTTCTAAATTTGGTTATTTGCTAGTCTGAAACTGTAACATTATGTTAACATTGTATATAGCTACATAAGAATTTAAGGTTAAGTATTTGGTTTAAGTAAACCAGTATCTTTTCTGATGTAGTCTACTGATATGAAAAATGGCCCCAATTCTACTCCTTATAAACATCATTCAGTGGTCTATGCATTATGGTTTAATGCATAAAACCTTTTTGTATAGGCTAAAACTTTATTTCTAATGTTCCCAAATATCCTTACAACATGTATTCTTGCCAAACGTGAATCAAGTATGATTTCAATTAATCTTCTGGTTTGTAGTTTTGCCGATCAAGAAGTAAGAACAAAAGCTGTACAGTGGATTGAGGCAATAAATGATGATGAACTTGCTGACATTCTTCCCCAGTTTGTTCAGGTCAGAAGACTATCGCATTAAATATACTGAAAAGGGGAAAATGGCATTTGTAACTGCACAGAAATTAATCAGAAATCACAGTTAATTTATGACAGTAACATTAGGAGTTTTGGTATTAAGTCTAATAAATGAGATACAATATAAAATGCCATTGTAATTTAACAATAGCATTTACAGCATAAAACAAACCACTCTACTTACTATATTTAACTATATCCTTTTCTGTTCCCCAGTTATTTCCATGCAAATTCTATGTGTGGAAGTGGGAGAAAATGTTTGATGGGAGTGGGATAAAATATTTGTTTTAACAGGAGGCTTCTTAATGTACCCTTCCATTTGGCACCCTAAGGTTAAACAACTGGGTGAAATTTATTTGCATTTGTTTATATTGAGTGTAGTAAATGAGGGTAGATTATGGCCAACACCAAGATATCAAGGCAAGTGTATCTCTAAAACCTCAGAATTAAATAATCAAAAAGTATAGGAAATGACCAAAGTCTCATGCAGTTCTCAGATTTTGCAATAGATTAATCTAAATCTTAGTGGGATTTTGTTGTTGAATTGACACCTTGTGAAATGGCATTCTCATAAGATTTCACTGATGGGGGGGGGGGGGCATTGTTAATAGATCTTTGTAGTTTGAGGCCTGAAAAGATGATCAGCACATGGTATATGATTGAAAACACTGTGTGAGGAAGAAAATAGGTTCATAGAGACCTAATGACTGAAGGAGCAAGTGTAGAAAATTCAGGAGAAATAATTGAAAAGGTGTAATAAAATAAAGTTTTTGGTTCACATATTAATTAAATTATGTAAATTATTGTGACCCTGCCTGAATGTTAGGATTATCATTTAAGATCTTTCTTAATGTTTCCTTATTCATCTCAAAGGTCTCTTCATTTATAAGGATAAGAGATGGTTTATATTATGTTACAATCTTGACTGTATTCAAGTTATTTATAAATATAATAACAATAACAAGTAAAAATAAAATATCATTTCAATGTTGCTGACATATTTTTTACTATTTATCATGTTGCTTCAGAACCATTTTGAATATGCACTCTATAAAAATAGTTTTATATTTTGTTTGTGTATTGCTATTTAATAGGGTAATAGTTATTCAAAGGGTGTGAGTAAAAAAATGAACAGACCTTCTGAAGGGATAAGGAGATGCAAAAGAAAAGGAAGTATAAATATCTCTCCTACATCCAATTTTTTTAAATGGACTTCCTAGGAACATAGGCAGACAGAATGAAATAAATAGATAAATTGATTGATTGGTTGAGTCTAAATGATAAGTTTAAACAGTGCTGAATAGTTTCATACTTTAAGGAACATAATTTTGGGAAGTTCATTTAATTGGAAAACTGTTGATGTGGAAAACCGCTTATGCTAAGTTGTCTTTAAATATAACTGTATAAAACTTACCTTTTGTGTGTATTTAGGCATTAAAATATGAAACGTATTTGGACAACTCTTTAGTCAGATTCCTCTTGGCCCGAGCACTAGGAAATATTCGAATAGCACATTATCTATATTGGTAAGAAGATCTATATTCTTTTTCAGCATCTTTCAACAATGTTTATATTTTCAAAAACAAGTAAAAAGTTGATGTGAAAACTTTAAAAATGAGGAATATTCATAAATCTTTATAGGCCAGAAAAATGTATGCTGTTGCTGATAGGAATTAATTAGGTGTTCTGAAAAAGCTATTGTATTTTTCCTGAAGTTCTGGGTTGCTTTCTTCTGTTCCAAAGCATTATTACCTAATCTTGCATTAGTCTCTCTCTAAAACTGAATTTAGATAACATGTTTGTGTCTTAAGCAAGATTATGCTTTACAAAAGGGACAAAAAAACACCATTTAACTTATTTTAACTTTATATAAATATAATATTGTAAATGCAGTGGAAGGTGCTGTATAAATTAATGAAAATAAAACAATGGTTTCAGATGCTACTGTCTCTTTTCTATACATTCTTTGTTGATACATAGTATGAATCTTCTCTTGAATCTGAACATTTATTTTGTTTTATTTTTATGTACTGTATTTTTTGGAGTATAAGACGCTCCGAAGTATAAGACGCACCTAGCTTTTTTGGGGGGGGAACAAGAAAAAAATCTCCCTCCTTGCAGCAAACAGCATGTTTCAGTTTCAATTTTAACCCAGCCTGATTAGCACAAGCAGCTGATTGTCGGTTACATCAATCTCCAGACGATCAGCTGTTTCAAGCTGCAGGGATTGCCATAGCCTATTGCTCCCTCCACTTGCCCCATTTTTCACCTCCGTATCCCATTTTCCACCTGTTCCGGGCAGTGGGGATCAGAATGGGCAGAAAATGGGGTGTGCAGAGAGTGGCTGAGGCGGCAATGGCAATCCCTGTAGCCTGAAACAGCTGATGGTCGGGAGGCCAATCCAACCGACAATCAGTTGCTTGTGCTAATCAAGCTGTGCAGAAGCTGAAAATGAAACATGCTGTTATTGCAAGGAGACAAATTGCTGGGAGGCAGATGCCGGCAGATGGGTGGGACTATGTTCCGTGTATAAGACGCACCCAAATTTTCACCCTTTTTTAGGGGAGAAAAAGTGTGTCTTATACACCGAAAAATATGATACATTACTTATTTTAAACAACAACAAAAATCAGTGTACAGTAAAAACCATAAATTAAAACAATTCACTCTAACTCCATTTCCTGGATAATAGGAAGAAAAATCAAAGTCAGAGTACAATCTGCTATGTGTGCTGACCAGTAATAAGTTAAGAAGTATGAAGTATTGAGCATCTCCAGTTAAGTTCTGGGTTTGGATGCAAAGAAAAATACTTTGCCTATGTCCCTGCTTGGGGTAGGTGCACATGCAGAATAGTCATGTCTTCTTGGGACTTC